TTTTTTTAATATTGGAATTTTCGAAGCCTCCTTCATAAATAAACTGAGTTTTCTTCTTCTTTCCTATAATCTCCTTTTTATTTTTGAGAAGTACCAACTTTGTTTGCTGGAGTTGCATTCTTGATATGCGGTGGCGTTTGAATCAATATGTTAAACGTCGGAGGCTCTATTCCAAACTCGCTTCTACTAATCTAGGACTCTTTCTAGAAGTATGCTCTGATTTCTTCGACATGTTTTAATGAAAATCTTGAAAACTTGATTTTTAGTATTGTGAAATTGCCCTTTCTTTCTGATTGTAGATTGAATATTTTCTGATTTAGGAGGTGATATTGAGATGTAGAAACGGTTTGAATGGAAGATGATTGATGAGGGGAAAGAGGAATGGATAATTGTTACAATGAAATTTTTTACTTTGAACGTGGGGTGGTGGGTTACTGACTAGAAGAGGCGTGGTGAGATTAGGGGTGTGGTTTGATCTGTAAAGGTAAAAAAGGAACAAGAATCAAGGTAAATTTCCTATAAATGTGTAAAAGATAATTATGGTAGATTATTTATTTATATCATTTAATAATAAATATAGAATAATAAAATACTATTTATTTAATAAAGTAGAAATTTAATTAATTTTTAAATAAAATGTGATCTGTTATAACCCGTAATTAAACTGTTATAAGCAAGAATATTTTAAAAGTAGCTTTAAAACTCGTAATATTGTCTCTTAAATACATAGTTAGCGCATTAGAACTGAAAATAGCGCGTTCAGTTGAACTCGGAATAGATCATCTTGTGGATTGTGGGAACAAAAGCCTGAATAAGAGAAGCTCATGCCTAAGAGATATGCTAAAAAATCAAAGCATATTTTGATTATCAAGAAGAGTAACGTGTGGGTATATGGTGGAAAATCAAAACATATATATTCCAACGTTTTTGCTCGAGGTCGAATAAAGGTTTTAAACCTTTGTAAAAAGCAAAGGCTCCAAAAGGACAAGCGTGATTTGGAAGTGATGATTTATTCGAAATCGATTATGATTAGACCTTAATTAACATCATTTGATTAATTACTGGTTTATTTAGCATTTGAATGGAATCTTTAATTATTAAGCCAATAAAACTACTTTATCCTGAGTGTATAATTTAAAAAAAAAAAAGAAAAAAGAAAATCACTCTATGAAATAATTTATGATTGTTTTCACCTGTATAAAGTTAGAATTTACTTTTATAATCTGCGCTTCTTATTTCTTTTCTGACTTTAGGCTATGCAAATAGGCTTTGGAGCTTTCATTTGATAGAGAAAAAAAGAAAAAGCAGTCTTAACTCTCAAGTATTTCTTTTCGGGGATAATATTAAAATATAAGTTCGTGATTATCTTTTTTTTTTTTTTTTTGGACAAATTATAGAAATACACCCCTTTTGTTTCATTTATTTCCATTATCCCCTATTACTTTTAAAATCTCCAAAATCTCATATTTCTTTAATGTATCCGAGCTGTATATTAATGTATCCGAGTCAGTATTTAATGTATTCGAGCTAGTTTTTAATGTATTCGAGCTACATATTAATGTATCCGAGCCAATATTTAATGTATCCGAGCTAGTTTTTAGTGTATCCGAGCTACACATTAATGTATTTGAGACAATATTTAATGTATCCGAGCTACAATTATTGTATCCAGTTTTTTTAAATTTTAAGGAATTAATGTAATTAGAAACTTATTAGGAATAGATTGTAATTTCATATTAAAACTATGGGATTTATGTAATTTACCCTTTTTTTTAATCTTTATTTTGATACTTACTCACGGGCCTCTTGATCAATACTCTTTTTCCCAGTTCCTTTCTAGAATTTGTTTTTGTGGAATATGACTTTTATTATTTGTTTTCCTTAAATCATTTGGAACTCTCTTGTTATGATGAATCATTAAAATCTCAGATTCATATTAGAACTATGATGATTCAACTAAAAATAAAGAATAGTTAAAAATTCAAAGTTAGGTTATAAGTGTAAAATTGTAAGAGCCCAGGTTGTCACTTTGAGATTTGGGCAAAGCCCAAATGAGTACATGAATGACTGGGTCCAGGTCCAAAAAATATGCGATGGAATAAGGTCTAACCGTTGGCAAATATTATTTTTTGATGTCCGGGGATTTGACTTGACCCTTACCATGTATATTCTTAAGGGAGATCCAACTTTGAAATTTTTAACATCAAACAACCATTTATATGCGATCCAGATCTATCTTCAATTAGTACTGCTTCCTCGGTTTCAAAATGAGTGTGGCTTTAGCTCATTCATTAAGAAGAATAATAAATCTAAGATATAATTTATAAAGTTACCCTTATTTATAAATAAATATTTGTTGAAAATTAAACACTATTAGAAGAAATAATTCTTTAACTTAAGAGTATATATAGTCATAAACACAAAGATATATATATATATATATATATACCATCAAATCTCTTTAAAATGATGTCCTTTGTTCAAATATATTTTTTCCTATAACAAAATATTATTACAAAAAATATATAATATAACTGATAAATTGATTAAAATCATGAGATTAGTACATTACTAAGCATACATATTTTTGAGAGTTTTTTTTTTGTAGTGTTGATAAATGAGGAAAATAATTCATGAATTAATGAGTATTAAGTAGTACTCATATGTGATAAAACCACCTGAAGCTTCTTTTGTAAAACCAAAACTGTCTCCTACCTGACATCATCAAACAGAAGATGGAACTAATTAACTAAAAAAATTAAGGAAAAATCTTGGCGAGAAAATTTGACCAGAATGATAAAATAACATATTTCACACTATATTATTTTACTTTTTTGAACATTTTTACCTATTTAACTTTAATATCTTTTAATTAAAAAATGGAAAAAAGATCAATTTATTTTAAAATAAAAAAAATATTCTAGACTTATTAAATTTCTGACCAAATTTTCTGACCATTTAGCATAACCCATAAATAAATTTGGATATATCATATGTGAGTTCCAAAAAAAGCATATCTTCTTACACTTGATAGACTTTGAATTCCAATGTGCCTTGTTCCACTATACATCACTCTTCGCATCACAAACTTAGTACTTTAATTTCCTCTTCATTTTTATTTGTCTATTATACTAAAAATAGTTGTCGGCCAATATTTGTTTAGTTTGAAAAATTAAAAAATAACTTTTTTTTTGTGTTTATTTTATCTTTAATATTAAATACTACTATTCAATATCTAGCATGTTTGAGTTTGGGTGAATTAATTGACAGATCATTAATTCATCAATTTTACTACTTAACTCAATCCATTATTTACTACTTAACTCAAATATTTTGATCCGTTCAGATTTATTTGGCAACCCTAATACACAAGTACATGCACCTGCAGGGTTTGTTGAGTCAGAACACAAGTAGTGGACATTTTTTTAATAAAAAGTAACAGGAAGTTGATAATAGCTTTCCTCTTGGTCTTTGAAAGATGTATCATTTGCTGATGATTGACACCTGTCTTATTGGTTATTGGAGGTATAAAATGGATCGAATTTCCCCATTAATTAACTACTATTATTGTTCGAATCTCATTGGTTTAATCACAATATAAACAGTGTTCACGTGGCCTTGGCCAATGCCAATTCGACAAATAACCCTCACCATTTTACGATACTTATCTCCAAATTTCTCTAAACTAAAAGGATTAATTATCTTCAAAGCTACGGGTAAATATTGTAAATTGGTCCATAGGCGCTCAAAGGCATCATGACTAAGCTTGCCATACTTTATCATTTTTCATACTTATTCCGTTAAATTATTGTCTCTGAGTTAATTGTTGGGTTAAAAAAAATTAAAAATATTCTTAGTACATCATATTATTAATTTTGATTCAAATCCCTACAATTTACCCCAACAGGTCTCGATACTATTAAGAATATTCAAGTAACTTTTTTTTCAATACAAGTATTAATATTGAATTTTATTTGCACACCCAACAATACTAGTTAAGATTTTATTAGGGTTTGATGGTAGAAATTTGGAAAGCAGAAAAATGTAGAGGATTAAGTAGTATAAGTAATTAGTACGATTTTGCTTATAATAATAAGGTGGAGATATAAATAATGAAATATATAGGCGTGCACTCCATATATGTACTCGCATTTCTTCTTGATTGTCGAATCCTCCATCCTTCACGTGTTTGTCGACCCCATTTTGTTTTTATGTCTCTTCCAACAAACTTTAATTAAACAGCAAATCAAACCTTATGTTTCTATTTCAAACTAACCTAGTCTATCAGCATCATGCATGTTTTGCTTGACATGTGGACAGAAATTCCTCTAATAGAAAGCGATTATGTCTGCGTTAATTGAATCCCACAACAGGCACAATGCGTGGGAAAAAACTTGTAGCATATGCATATTGATTAAATGGTTGAACTCCTTAAAAAAAAAACTTACCTTGACTGCAAAATCACTTTCATTTATAAATTAAGGAAAAGAATATAGAAAACAAAGAAAGTTACTGAATATATATTTGCCTAATTATGATCAATATTGAACATGTGACATGATCTCTTCCACTCGATCAAATTTGTAGTGTAACTAGCTAGCTCCTTGTGCATGCCATGATTTTAGGAGAAAACTATTAGGCGTTAAAAAAGTATATAAAGAAAAGGGAGATATTAGTAGTAAAAATTTACCTTTTTTGACAGGGAGGTCACGTGAAAATTCTCGAAAGTAACCAAAGAGTTTAGCTGTTTATCAATATCCAAAAGTCTATAAAGGAGAGAGATCTCTGACTTAATTTTTTTTTTACCTTAAAAGGGTTTTCTTTTATGGATATAGTTTAAGGTTACTAAAATGGGAAAATGATTTTACCCCATTTAGAATTATTAAGGGAACTCTTGGATTCCCCACGCGTCAGTAAATCATACGGCGACGGCGCTACCACTTGTCAACTTAAAATATAAGTATTTACCAAAACAATTAAATAAAAAAACACATACATTTTAAGTTGTTCCCAAAAACCAAAAGCTTATAAAAGGCTCCTTCCTGATTATGATGTTACTCACAGTACTCTTTAGAAGACTTTGATTTCATTTCATTAATTTCTAAAGCTCTCAACAATCCAAGTAAGTTTTCTTCTTCTTCTTCATTAGTTTTTAAAGATCTAATAGATATTGTAATTGATCTCTTCATTAATTCATTATAGATCCAAGTAATTAAAACCCTAGATGGGAAGGGGAAAGATAGTGATCCGAAGGATCGATAACTCAACGAGCAGGCAAGTTACTTTCTCAAAGAGAAGGAATGGATTGTTGAAGAAAGCTAAGGAGCTCGCGATTCTTTGCGATGCTGAAGTTGGATTGATTATTTTCTCTAGTACTGGAAAGCTCTATGAGTTTTCTAACACCAGGTATTTATAATATTTACAAGTTTTTTTCTACTAGCTAGATGTGTTATATTGGAAAGTATTAGGTCATTGTAATTTGATAAATATAGCTAATAATCAGATATTTGCTCAGCATTTTTATTTTTGTTGATAAAACACTAAACAAAAGAAGTAAAGTAAAGAAAAGTAACCATTGCGTGAGAATATTTAGTATATACAGTATCGGCTCTTGGACTGTTTCATAGCATCGAGCATTTAAGAATTATAATATGAAGATCCTACCTTTATTTTGTTTTAATTGACAGTTTTTGGTTATACCCATGAGCTAATAATTAAGTTCTACAGAAAGAATATTAGAGCTTATTATATAATCATCCCATGAATTAAACAATACACATATTGGAACTCTTTGAGATATGATCTTATGTGATTTAATTAATTAAGTCATTCATAAGCAGAATTAACACTAGTCGTCGTATACTGATTAATATATATAATTGAATGATGCTGATTTTTTTCTTTCAATTGAATCTTCTAGGATATTACAGCGTAATTAACCCTTCCCTCTTCTTCCTTAATTACATTTTATCTTTATGCTAATTGTTAAAAATAAAAAAAATCTAGCATGAGAAGTACATAAGAGTTCAGCAGAATTTAGTAATTTTGATCCAAATTCGTGTAATTATGTTGAGGAATTCACGGACTATTATACATATTTAATTATAATGTTTATAAATTTTAAATTCTAAAACCGCCTCTAAATTTTACCCGGGTCTCTTTTAGAAAGGCAGATATAGTAGGTTGGACACACACAGGTGGTTTGTGGGTCATGATGATATTATCCAAACTAAAATAGTAAGGGCTAACCCATATGTGGTTCCCTAAATTTGGCACCAACTTTCACTTGGACACTTTAACTAGGCTTTGTTCATTTTAGGCACCTCATGTCAAACCTCATTTTGTCATTTTGACACTTTTTATATTTTCAAAACCGCATTTTAAGTGCGTACATCCAGACGCCTCTTATGTGGAAAAATAAACGAATTGGTATGTGACACGTGGAAAATTTATTTTATTTTTAAAAATCTCAATTTTACTTTCTTTTTTTCTTTCTTCCAGATCCCAAACCCCATGCCCCCACATCTTTTCTTCTTCTTCTCGCGCCTCCTTCCCCTTCATCTGTTCTTCTCCATCAAAAGGCAAGAACATAGGTTAGTTTACAAAGTAAATACGTTTTGGAGAATAAGCGAAATCATACCAAATCGAAAAGTTTTATATGACATTTAAAGAAGATGATTTCTTGTGCTACTACGATTGGGATTTACAATGAAGGATATGTAAAATAAATTTCTTTTTTTTCTATTGGAGGTTGTTCTTTATTTCTTTTTTATTCCTTGAAATCAATTTAATTTTCAATGGAGAAGGTAAGAATGTAAATCAGTTTTTCCATTTGAAAGAAGTTGATTTCTTTTTTTGTTCCCTCGAAATCGATTTTGTTTTTTAATATGAATCAAGATGCAAATTCGATTTTCAAAGATTTTGGATGAATCAAAGAGTGTAACCTAGTAAAATATTGTAGAATTTTTAAAAAAAGTTGTGTGGTGATGGAGGATGGTAGAAGGTGGAGAAGATGGAAGGGAGAAAGCAAGGAAGAAGAAGGAGAAGAAAATATTTACAAAAAAATTCAGAATATTTACAAAAAAAGTATCTGACGCGCTCAAAATTCGTGTAGCACACGTACTATGCTTAGTCAACAAAAAGTGTCAAAATGACACAACGAGACTCGACATGAAGTGTTTAAAATGAAAATCCTTCAATTGAGGTGTCTAAGTGAAAGATTGTGCCAAATTTAGGGGGCCACCGATGGATTAGCCCAAATAGTAATGTTGGGGTAAAATGAATGCATACCATATTATTGTACCAAGCACAATATGAAGTTTATCATGCATAAATTGCTATAGTTTTATGTATCATATGAGGTCGGATATTGCTATCATTGTGTGAAAATTATCAAGATATTCTCATAATCACAATAGTGATATATCATTGAAAAGAAGTAGTAATAATGGTATAAGACACCTTCTTTTTACCTTATTTTATAACAATAATAAAACGAGCAATAGACTTGCTTAAACATCGAAAGAATATTTCATGAAGCTAGCTAGTTGAATAACTTTTTGTATATAAATAATGATGACAAGTCAAGTCTGACTGATGAATTTTCACCTTGGGTTAAGAGTGATTTGAATTTGAGTTTAATATATATAAAAAAATGTATTGCTCATTTTTAATGGAATTTGAGTTTATTGCTTTAGCATGGTGCAGGTAGAGTAGAGAGGCTATACACTACAAAAAAAAAAACTCCAAATTGTCAACAGATTTTACTAAAAACTTAAGTTGGTTAGTATTCTACTAACAAATTACCAATATATTTTTAACTGAATTATATTTTAAAACTTAACAACGAAATTCTAACAGATTACCAACCAAAGTCTTACTAACTAAGTATTTTAGTTGGTAAATACGGTGGAAAAAATGGCGCCAAATTTAGTAACATTCTATCAATGGATTACCAACTGAAATATTACTAACGCACACCTTTTGTTGGTAATATTACCAACGAAGTATATATCGGTTGGTAAATATGACAAAAAAAATTGTTTATTTAATTTATTAACATATTACCAATGAATTACTAACCAAACATTTACCAACGGTAAGATTGTGTTGCTAAATTTACCAACCAAATATAAATGTGTTGGTAAATTAGTAACGAAATGTAATTTGTTGGTAAACTTGCCAACCAATATCCAATTAGTTCGAAATTTTGCTGACGAATAAAGATTGTAGTTAGTAAATTACTAACATCATTAAAATAGTTGGTAATATGCCAACCGATCATTAATCCATTGGTAAAATGTACCAACATATTAATTATTAGTTGGTAATAGTACATATGAATGTTTAGTTGAATAGTAACTATTACCAACTGTGATAAAATTTATTGGTAAATTACTAATTACTAACTTATATTTGAATAGTTGATAAATTTACCAATTAAAGCTAAATTTTTTGGTAAACCAGCGTCTAGTGTTGAGGCTTTCATATTCAGTTTGTGTCGTTAGGCGTTTTAACTTTTAAATTTTAGCCAAAACTTGACTTTGGTCAATATTTTTTATAAATGTGCTAAGATTAGAACTTTGTCAGTGTCATTAGCTTCGAAAGGTCATTTTTTATCTAATAGGATGGTTGGTTCGGATTTTGAGGCTTTCATTTTTAGTGTGTGCCGTTAGGTGTTTTAACTTTTAAATTTTAGCCAAAACTTGACTTTGGTCAATATTTTTGTGAACGTGCTCAGATGAGAATTCCATCAGCTTAATTAACTCTAAAGGTCATTTTTTATCTAATAGGATGGTTGGTTCGGATTTTGAGGCTTTCATTTTTAGTGTGTGCCGTTAGGTGTTTTCACTTATAAATTTTGGCCAAAATTTAATTTCGATCAATATGTTTGATAAAGGTGCTCAGATGAGAATTTCGTCGGTGCAGTTAGATGCGGAAGGTCATTTTTGATGTAATAAGATAGAGGGTTCGGGTTTTGAGGCTTCCATTTTTAGTTTGTGCCGTTAGGTATTTTAACTTTTAACTTTTGGCCAAAATTTTACTGTAGTCAATATTTTGTCACCGCGGTTAGCCATATAAGTTCAGTTTTGGTCTCATACGATGGTTGGTTCGGGTTTTGAGACTTTTATTTTCAGTTTGTGTCGTTAAGCGTTTTAACTTTTAACTTTTGGCTAAAATTTGAATTAGGTCAATTTTTTT